GTACCCTGCGCGTGGGTGGATGCATCATGATCTATGTGTGGGCCATGGAGCAGAAACGTCGGAAATTTGAGAAGCAGGACATCTTCGTTCCTTGGAACCCCAACCCTTATTCGTCCTCCAGGTACAGGAGAGAGCATGCCAAACCCAGGAGGAGGGCCACTGCACAGAGTGTGAGCGAAGCCATTGACAGCATTGACAAGCACAGGAAGGTTAGAAGCACATCCTCCATGGCAGATGAAGAAGACCTGACCTGCACCACACCACAGCAGAGGACTCAGAGACTGTGGTTCTTCTCCAGGTCTTTGGATTCTGTGTTTGACTTTGGAAGTTTAGCCATTTCCCGCTCGTCCTCTAGAGACCTGTGCACTTTATCTTCACCCACAGGTGAAGCACAGGGGACCAAGGCAAGCTGGCGTGGGAGAGGCCGAGGCCTCATCAAACAGGTCTCAAGCTTCTTTTCCCCTCCGTCTGTGATTGGATCAGAGGAGGATGTCTTTAACTCAGTCACAGACCTGACAGCACGACAGAATAATCCCGGAGGCAACAACACCACCACCACTAACAACAGCAGCACAGAAGGCAAGAGTGTCTCGGTATCTTTAGCCCAGGAGTGCGGCTCTGTGGCCCTGCCAGACCTGGTGCCTTTCCAGACGGACCACCTGAAGCAGTGTGGAGATGAAAGTGGAGGAGGGCCTCAGGGAGAAGAGCTGCAGGAAAGCACACCAGATCCTCAGGAAACCGAGGTGGAAGGCTCCTGTCTGAGGTACTATCATGTGTTCAGGGAGGGAGAACTGGTGGAGCTGATAGAGGATCATGTTGAAGAGCTTCATGTCAAACACACCTACTTTGATCATTCCAACTGGTGTGTGGTAGCAGAGAAGGTTCAGCTATGGAAAATATGATTTTAGCCTATTTGATTTTACTCTGCGTTGCCTCTGCCTCAAGTTTAAGCACTGAACTACACATTTGATGATCATTACATTCTTGTAACAGAAAAGTGTGTAAAGGTACAGCTGTAGCCATTATTGGAGGTACACGAAACACTAAACCAAATACTCCACTGCTACAGCTATTTATTTAACTGTTTAGTGAACGTATTTTTTAATTATCTTTTTTAAATTTTAAATGGTCCTGGAACCAGTTGTGTGACAGACTTATCTGTATCTAACGTTATTTTAGATGGCATCACTGGAATGTTTTTGCTATGGATGGCAACAGTGGCTATTACTGTATACAGTACCGTTCTTATTTATTATATTTATTCTATTGCAATACATGAAAGCAACAAGCAGTATCCAGATATCCTGTGTGTTCTCTTTTTAGTGTATAGAGTTAGTTTTATTGTCAAACCGCAGCAAGCTCCGTTGCTGCTACTGATTTTAACTTTTAAAAGCGTTTCTGTCACAGGCAACGTCCACTCGCTTACACATTTTGAGGCGTTGATTTTAGAGGAAAACTTTTGTGTCTGGCTGTCTTATAACTGCAAGGAGCTGAACTTGCAGGAAGAATCTGCCCTGCACCTTTTGGTGGGGCTTTCTGTAAACTGCTCATGTATAAAATATCATATACACTATTATAAACAGAGCTTCAAGTTGTGCAGAATATCTTCCAACACATTCATTCCATTTGCTTGTTTTATTCTCCAGGTGAATTAAAGACTGTGTTGTGCACTTGATGATGATAGTATGTGTAATATTTGTGTATTGTCTTAGAAACAACAAGCTGACTATACTTCTAGTACTATTATGTTTCAGCCAACCAACTGCCTCAAACTGTGAATAAACATTGCACTGCATCACAAATATGTCACCACTTGATGTCAGTAACTGACATAAATATAGGTGAACTTACTACACACTTGTTATCTATTGTGCCAAGGATGGTGTGTATCCTTATCAGTACAGTATGTGTGGATCTGGTATTTTATTGTCTAATGTGACTTGACGCCAATGCTTTGAAGATTTTTTTTTTAATAAAGATTTTTTGAGTCATGAGTGTTGTTGTTTCATTTACATGAATTACAAATTAGCATTCATTGATACCACAAAGCGTACAGAAACAATGAAGTAAGTACTGATACAGTGGAAGTGGAAGTAAACATCATGAACGTCTTCTTGTGTCACTCTTCAGCCAACATCTAGTACCACAGACAGGAGTTAATCTTGATACCTATCATTACAGATTTGGTCCAGCAATTACAGTATTCTACAGATACTCTGACCAGATGATTAATCTGTTAGGAATCCACTGTCTCCAAATTGTTAGTTGTCATTTATGATAAAAGTGTAACTGTATTTGTATGTCCAGCATATAAATATATAAATAATCAGTTCATATCTAACCAGATTTTTTTATTCCCACATCAATGTCATTGGCTCCTGAGAACCAAATATCAGTTAGGCTACGAGGGTCCTCTTGATTCAGCGGATAAAGGTTTCACATTCCACACCTGAAACACAAGGAACATGAGTACAATAATCGCACATATTCAGTAGAACCAGATGCGGGATTTTGTTGCTCTGAGCATTATGGAGTGCCTGAGGGCCAGTGTGTCAATGTCTCTCGAGTATCCTCCTCCAGTAACAGCAGCAACAGGAACACCTCTGCTCAGCGCACTCTTCATCACATACAGTACATATATCTCTGGTATAAGCCTAGGAGATTCTCACAGACATTACATCATCATCATCATCCTTTATTAGCAGACTCAAGGTCCATACAAAAAAAGAAAGGATATAAAAGAAGAAAAAAAAATAAAAATCATAAAAGACATTTATACCAATGTTTCCACAGAGAGGATTGGTAACGTACTACACTAAAACCAGGATTAGCCAGCATCATTATAAGACTGTTCTCAGAGTTATTCACACGACAGATAAATCTGTACATCAGGTTTGTCATTAATGCCTGAAAGGTACTAACATGGACCTGTGAACACAACAGACTGGCGCTGGTGGACCTAGGCTTCTTCAGCAGAATCCTCAAGGCATCATTATAAGCAACTTTAAGTTTCTGTAAAGTAGCTACCTTATATTAACACCACAATGGGTCAGTGTACAACGGTGTACAGTATGTTCTGAACAGATGAACTTTAACATTAGCAGAACACATGTTTCCTAACCAACATATTAGCTTGAGCATACAAAATGCGACCCTGCCGATATATATCCTCATCATCAGACAAAAAGTCTAGAGTAGATTTATAGGTAGAGACACTTGTGTGTCAGAGTTATGGCTAACCTTGGTCAGTCAGACGGAGCCTCCCGACTTCATTTTCACAATGAGGGTCTGATGACTTGGTCTTTGATTAAAAAGTGTAAAACCCTGGAAACGTGCTCACTGGCAACCTGTGGCTCGGGGGCGGGTCACACACATACGCGCTGTGATGAACTATTGGAAGTCCGCTGGATTCCTGTCTCACCTGGGATGTAAGGTAAGTTTTAATGCAGTGCACTGTGTTTTTAATGTTTGGTAAAATAAAAGAGTTGAGTTTAAGCAATAAGGTCTTACTACATCTGCAGGAGGTGAAAGCTGCATCGACCAAGCGAGCGACTTTTACGCGCGGGCTTATATAGAATATTTCCTTTATGCAGGTCATGATGCCACTGACATAACACGGTGAAATGATAAGTGTTACGGAGTTTGGTGTTAGGAAAACGTACCCTGCGTATAGGAGGATGTTTGACTGTCTCTCCTGTCCAATGGTGCCATCTTCAGTGGGGGAGTGGAAACGATCGCAGACTATCGGGGCTGTTTGTCACCATATCCTGATTTGATTTGGAGTGAATATTGCAGATTATAGCATGATGTTTAGAAATAGTTTTGTCTATGTAATGCATTATTTGAATGATAAATGAACGCTTCAGATTTCTCCTTACACCATGTTAAGTTATATAAGCCAAATTTTGTTAGTGATTGCAACCTTTTGTTTGTGATTAGCTGCAAAAGTCACTTAAACTTTGGAAAACTGATCTATTTTAAAGGAAAAGGCAAACAGCCGTGGTACATCATAAAAACATTTCTTTTCCATTTTGGGTTGTGAAAAAACATCAAAAGATTTCAGAAGTCCTTTTAGATAACTAAGCCTGTTTGCTTATGAGGCTACATATTGCATGTCTCCTTTATTCTGATTGTGAATTTATTAAGTCCTAGCATATGGATTGAATCAGCAGATGTGAGATTTTACTATTTTCTTTTTATTCACAATAAAGCATTTGTGTTTTTCCTATTCCAAAGTGATGCATTAATAGCTTACTCCTCATCCCAGAATAGAAACAGGTATATTATCACTGTCTGTGCAAAATATACTCATGAATACAAATAATATTTTTGCGTGGGAAAAGCATATTATTATTATTATTAGCAGCAGTGGCCATTCATAATCGTATAATGATGAGGTTTATAATGTTGTTGTCAAGTCAGTTTTTGTTTGTCTGGTCACATCTCTTTCTTCTAATTTCCAGGTGATCTGTCTTTATACAGACTTGTATAATTGATTCTATGTAGCTTCCACTCCACTGTATAGACAGTTTTTTTTAGAGATGTACAAACTTGCAAAAGAGGTGAATTTATCTTTTATGAGGATCTTTTCATTCTCCACTTTTTCACTCTTTACCTCTTGACTGATCAAAACTTATTTGACTGTTTTCAACTTTTAACTCATGACAAATTGCTCATCCTCTCTAGTATATTTAACTTTTCCTCTCCATGCACAAAGATTCCTCTCCAGCGTTTGTCTGCACCCTGACCGTCTTTTCCACTCCTCTGTCCTCCTCCATAGCCGCCACCATCAGCTCCTCCCTGTTGAGCCGAAGCGTGCTGCTGAGGTGGTTAATCACAGTGACAGAGGATCTGTTATGGTGTCACACTGAAATCATGTCAAGCTCGGAGCCTGAGAGCTTTACTGTCTTCACTTTCACATGTTGCAGTTAAAGTGGCAGAGAACTCTGGAGGGGTAAGTGTTGTGATGCAAATATTTTACCCAGATGACTTATATCCACTTGTTTATAGTTTTGATTAATATCCAGAATGCTGACATTCTTGTGCAATTATAGATGGAAAAATTTGACGCTATATTTCAAACAACATCACTTTTCATATAACTGCACTGAAATGTCTTGTGGCTAGCTACTTTTGTGCCTGGTTTTGATTTTCCACCTGTCTGTTCTGCATTGCTGACAGGGAGCTCAAAGTGCTGTCTGGCATCCTGCCGGCTGCAGGGTTCTCCCATGAGAGTGCCTGATTGTGTATGTGCATGAAGAGTCTGGTGGATGGGATTAGTACAGCTCCCACTGGGAGGGGATAGTGTACTCATGGGCAGATAAGAAAAAAGACAAAGTGTTGGCCCCAGGTGCACAGGAGAAATCTCCTCATAATAGAGAGAAGAGATTAGAGAGGTAAAATCAATTACTGACTTCAGCCCTGCTAAGAGGCATTGCAAACAGGGAGAGATGGAGGAGGGGGGGAGACTCACTTTTGAAATAAAAGACGCCAGTGTATCCTGGCAGAAAGATTGTATAGCTTTGTGCAGTCGAGTTAAATCAGTTCATTAACTTACAGATTTTTTTTTGGTGTTTTTCTGTCTTTTGTTGAGTTAAAGGACCATTCTGTTTTTTTTAGAATTGGCCTTTGTCAACTGTTCCAGGTTTCCATTTGTTTCTAGGCAGCATGAAAATCTGTTAGCAGACTCTTAAAACATGTTTGAGTGTACAGAAGAATCAGTCATAGGAAACGTCAAGACTGCATACGTTTTTGCCAAATTTCCATTATTGTTGTGAGGTGCAAAAACGTATTAACTTTAGTTAATAAAATAGCAAGAAATGCCCATCAGAAATTCTGCCCACTATAATGAAGAACTAAGATAATCAATAAATAATCATTATTATACAGAAACGATAAATCAATAAAAAAAAAGTTGTTGAATAATTGTCTTCAAATGGACAAATAATTGATCCACTAATTGTATCAGTGCTATCTGCATTACTATGCAATGATAAAATAATGCAGGCTTGATGTTCACTAATTGTACAGCTAAAGCAAATTTGAATAATCTATTGACAGACTTTTATACCATACATAAATCAGTGAAAACCAGTGGCTGCCTGAAATGTCAGTAACATCCAAAAATCAAACTCCAAAGAAACCAATGTGTTTGTTATAAATTGTGGCCAAATCATTTCAGTGGGTCACCAAGTTGTTTCCTTGCTTTGAAAGTAGTGTTTAAGTTTATTCAACCAAAAAAGCCACAGGTACAGTAGACCTGTCCTAAAGAATGGCTAGGACCATACCTGTTGTAGTTTAGTTCACACATTGATGGAATCAGTTCTGCCCACAGTGTGTGTATGTGTGTGTGTGTGTGTGTGTGTGTGTCTGTGTGTATAACCAGAGGAAATACCTCATCATCCGAATGTCATCTTGGCATGTTTTCTTCACATACCTGGAATCATGTTTGTTGTCCGATCTCAATAGAGGAGTGGGCGGAGTGATGTTGGCATCAGACTCTGGATTCAAACTTACCTGTCACTTACACAACATCGAGCCCACAAACGCACTCACCCTCCACCACACAAGTGGAAGGAATTCGCTGGTTGATTTGCGAGCGCTGGCAGAGCGTGTTGCAGCAGGTGAGGACAGCAGTTGTTGTTGGAGTGAATTAATTTGTAGCTGCTCGCTGTGTGTGTCTGATCGTGATGGGCTGCTGCTTAGTCCCTCCGAGGCAAACCTCTGGTCACATGAAAGGCAGAACTGATTTACCTCTCACCCGTCCCCGTCTTTCTACTGTAATCACAGACGTACTGGGGAGGAACTGATTGTGCAGTAGTGTAATCTACCATCATTTGAGTCTGTGTTTCAGCCTCCTGATGTTATCACTGGAAATGACATCTTCCTTTTACTCTCTGTTTGGGAATGCCCTGACAGCTGTTTTCTCAAGTTTGGCATCTTGTCATGTGGCTATTGTGTGATAAACAGTGGGTGCTGTCACACAGCGATAATGGGTGAGCCAGTGAAATACCGAGACTTCATGAAGATAAGGGTTAGAGTTCTCATATCACATTTGTTTTTGGCAATTGTTCCATTTGTTCACTTTTGCCATGACAAGTGGCTTGATTTTATAAGTGATATTTTTAGTTAGCTAGCAGTAGGTACTGTATGTTCTGAAAAACTTAATATATTTAATGTATTATTACTTAAATATACTTTTAAAATCATAGTTATGACTGCTGTGAATTCCTACTTCACAAACTCATAGTAATTGTGCATTTGTTTATTATCATGGGGGGTGTAAATGAAAAATATTTTTAAAAATTTTGTGACAAGATGTATTGAATATACGCCTTAACATGTGTCACAGTCTTAAAAGTGGGATCATAAAGGCCATTGTCTGTGTGCGCACAGAAACTGCTGATTTGACAGAGATGCAGTGAGACTGCAGAGAGAAGTGATACAGGACATCTGCCCATGTTTGTGGCATGCTGGGAATCTGTATGGGAGTCAAACAGCAGCAGAGCTGGAATGTTTTCTAATGATGTTTACTTTTTTATTGTACTTGTGTGTTTTCCCACAGCTGGTCATGTGACATAAGAGTACATAAAGCCATTAAAATAGATTTTTTGCTTTGGCACATGCTAATAATAAATTTCAGTATGACCATTATCAGTGTTGCAGAAGCAGATAAAATGTAATAATTTTCCAGTTTTAACAGACTCACTCTTGTTTTGTGTGGCAGTAACACGTTGCATTGCTGGCAGGCAAACCTACGACTGTACAGCTACATGTTTCAGCAACACAGCTGGCTCCGTTCTGTTACTTTAATCTCGCTGTGCCATGGGAAGACCAGAGGCATTTCAGAGCGTCTGCCCCGTCTTGACCACTGTAGATGATAGCAGTGATCAGAAGAGGGAGAGAAGACACAGCGAGTGAAATGGCAGCTTGTGTGAATGCGCTTCTCCTCCTACACTGTAAAACATTCTCACAAACCATTCACTGATTGGATATACAGTAACTGTCATTTAGTAAGACCTCGTAAACTAACTTTTTCCTCCATATCTGATTATAATTGTTTAATAAAAAGTATATTGGCATGATGCACTACTGATACAGACACATTATTGATAACTTTTTTGTGTGTTAGGAAGTACTCCAAAGATTACTGTTGTAATTTCGTAACGGTACGAGGCTGATGAGAGGCAGATTTCAAAATGAGTGGTCAGTTTCCTGAGATATTCTTACTTTGGGTTAAACTCTTGAATCCTGCAATATTACACACTGATGGGATGTTTTTATTAAGCCACTACCTGTCTGCCAAACACTCATGTCTTGTAAATTAATCTGAAACTAACATCTTCACTTTGTAAAATAAATATAACTGAAACATATTGACTTCAAATAGATCCAAAATGCATGTGACACAGAGCTTTCATCCATGTGGTAAAAATATAGTTCATTTATAGCACTGAGGTGTATTGATGAGTGTTTCGCTGTGTATACTGCTCTAGAGGCTGCAGTGCAGTCACTTGCACAAGCTTGAATCAGTTATTCGTGTCAAACTGTCATTTTACAAAGTCAAAAGAGGAGAATCCAAATTAAAAATAAAAAAGTCTAATGGATTAAAATGTTATAAAAGCATACTTTTGGTCTGATTTGAGATTGATCACTCAGTGAAAAAATATTTGGACCCTCACTTATTACAGTTATGTACTGAATGGGTCATGAATTGCCATTTTCAGGTTCTTCTAACTGAGGTGTGTGTTAAACAGACTGGGAAATTTTCATCCTTATTGTTTTTTTTTCTGGAGGAGTTGGCTCTGAGCTTCTCTTGCCTGAGGATCTGCATCTTGGCTTGATAAACCTGCCATCTCTGGAGGTTTCCTTTGGCTGCCTGTCCACCTCCTGCCCCCACCCCAGTGATTTGCAGCAGGAAGCTTTCTCTTGTTTCCGTTTAATTCAGCATAGCTCTACTTATGACTGGCTGTCATTTACTTTGTGTTGATTCTGAAGAGACATCCGTTTTCATTTCAACCTCTGTAAATGGGTGTTTCTCTTAGCTCTTTATCTTGACATGACAAAGGTGTAAAGAGTGTGAAACTGGCATAACCTGCCAACTTCAGACCAAAAAAAAATCATGGTGATGACAGTCTGTCACACTTGACTGAAGTGCAGAGACAGTCAGGTGCTTGGCCGGTGTAAAGTGACCCTCCCTCCTGCTCCAGGTGCCGTCAAGCTCTGTGTTTTTCTTACAGTGACAACAACAAGGCAGTGTTCCCCCCCCACACCCCCTGAGGAGCAGACAAGGTCTGCCAGGTTAGCTTGTGAGAATATCCAGCTGTGTTTGAGCTCACATGTTCTTATTTCCACTGGCCTTGGACTGTTCACCTCCACAGCTCAGACAGACCAGGCACAGAAAAGGCTGCTATTCATCAAGTGCAGCCGATTGTTTAAGTTGGTGGTTCCCAAATGTGACTGTAGGAGCCAGCACAGGGGACAGACTTATTGTTTCTCTCTCATCCTCCTCTTCTCTTTCTCTCATTCATATGCACCTGCACACTTTTACTTCCTTTCTCAGGCAGAGTAAACAAGTCCACAGCACATTTTCTACTATGTGCTCTGTAATCACCCCTGGTCTGTATCAATATGCACACAGCCTAGAAACAAAAAAGTATTTTAAAAAGATATCTTCTGGTTTTAACATTTTGGTTGTTGGGGGCAATTGTAGGCAAGTTGTACTATTTTTGATTAGTTGAGAAATGCTAAATTTCTTGTAACCTCTCTGTTCCACAGTAGTGTTCCCCCTGCAGCGTTCCCCCTGCAGCCACCCAACAAGGACATCAGGAATGTCACTCATTCAGGAAACACAAAGTTTGCACACATACCTTATCTCACTGGTCAAACAGCAGATTTATTGCTGTTGTGTGTCTGCTGTGCTGTGCGTCAGAATATTTCTACCTTTGTCTTTCATGAACGGTGTCTGAATTTTAGTTGGAATAATGTAATTTTCATGTTTTGCTAATATGTAAGTACAGAAGTCAGAGTCGAAAGTAATGCAAGGCCTCAGTGATGGGGGTCTTTATCAGTGTATATGTCTTTACAGAGGCTAAAGGTAGCTTGTAAAAATGAGCAATAAAAACCAAAAGAAGCTTTGAAACATTGCAGATTCTGAATGAACAAGTGAATAAACGAATGAATGAATCAACCCCCTTATTGTATAAAGTCAAGGGCAATTTACAGTATGGACTCGTACATTCTTTCTGCAACACTCCTGTCCTATCAAGGAGCCCCGGAGCAGTGTAAACAAAGTCCTCAGCCAATGAACAAGCGAACACTCAGACATGCCCCTTTCATGCTTTCACTCACTTTCACCCAGAGCTGCTATATGTGTGGTGTACTTGGCTCTTCCTATGCGCATTATTTCAATGATGCTGAATAACAAGAGAACTATTCGTTACTCAGAAGTGTCTTGGCTCAGGGTCTCAAAGCTGTGTTATTTTTGTGTTGCAATTGTTTATCATTCATGTCAAACGGGGATAGCTTGGCGCTTCTGTTATACATGTTATAAATGATATGCAAAACACTAATCTGGAAATTAACTGTGCAAAATAAAGATCTTTAACTTCAAAAGTATATTTGGATATTCCCCTGATTGTTCAGTCAACAATCAACAGTGAACGCTTTGCCATAATATACCATCAAACATCCTGCCAGTCCATGAATTATGATGCGACTCCTACACTACAAATTAGCCTGCTGTATGATCCAGAATTGGCGTTTTTTTTCTATACACAGTGGCAAATAAAAGCTTGAGGATGGATGCTTTGGACTCAATTTGGCATGAAATCCTCTCACAAAGATATCATTTTAATCTATGTGTAATATGCCCCAGTAAATCACAGCTGTCCCCTCTGACTTCATTCTGCAGCCTAATGTTTTGAAGCAGCTATGGTTCATCTTGTGCCTGCATAGCTCAGGCTGTTCAAGTAAGCCATTCTAGCCTGTTTGTGAGGGCTGCAAACCCATTTCACCTTGTTCTTTTGCAGTGCCAAAAACCACTGCTGCCCCCCCCTTTGTCTCCTTTCTCCTCCCCTTTCCATCTCCCAACAAGTATACATCCTCTCTACTCTTAGCATATTCTGAATGGATTAGTCTCTGCTAGCTGAACACTCTTGCAGGTTGCAGGGAAATACAAGAGGAGGTTGTGATGACAAGCTTGCCTTTTTAGCAGAATAGGACTATGGAGACATAAGTGGGACTCTGCAAGGGGCTGCTCAACCCTCTCTGCTCTTATTGGAGCTAGCCTCACTGCCACTGTTTTGCCATGATCTCAGTGACACTGCTTGACCAATACAGACAAACAACTCTTTTCCATTCAGCAGGTAAGTCTTTTGTTTTATGTGTTACTGTGAATCTGAGTGGCATCAACCTATGATGGAGAAACAAATGACAACTCTGTTTCTCTCTTTGCTAATCCTCCTCGGCTGAGTTGAGAAGATTATACTATATGTTGTGTTTACATGAAGAGACTTGTTCTGGGGCTTTCTGTTGAAAACTATCCAACACACGGTGCTTTTGTCACTCTTTGAAATAAATTGCTGTCTTGCCTTGCCAGTCAACACTCCTCGTTCATTTCCACTCTGTGACTTCTTTCTTCCTCTGTATTCATTTGAGAATAACGAGACCTTCTTTGCAACAAGAGATGTTGCTTGGAACAAACCCTAATGTCTTGTGCACTCATTTCAAATTCACAATGCAAGGACCGATTTTTACGGGAGGTTCTATAAAGCATTTATTTATTATCTATTGCTGCTGTATGGAATTGCAAACACATGCATCACCAAGGTCCCAGAGTTTAAAAAGGATTGTCAGAGATATATTTTATTTATGTGTGAGGTTGTTTTATCTGTTTGTGTCCTAAAAGCAAAAGATTGTGTTTGAGTACATGGGTGTTGTGTGGATGTGTGTGTCAAGGCCACAGTAACGGAGCTGCCAAGTTCAGCTTTGGCAACAAAATGATAAGGATAATCACCTTTATTTGACCAGGCATGTTACACACACAAGGAATTTGTTTCCGGTACAGAACCGAGGAAGCCATCTGCGGCACCAACTCAGACCGATGGCTTTAACCATTGGGGGCAACTTGGGGGTTTAGTGTCTTGCCCAAGGACACTTCGACATGTGGACTGCAGGCACCATGATTCGAATCTCCAGTTGGGAGACAACCGCTCTACCCACCGAACCACAGTCGCCCCCGCAGCGATCCATGTGTGTAACTTTATGTTGCTGCATTTTACATGTTAATTCCCTGAAGTAACAAATAAGAGTATTTTCTAGAAAAATCTGGGCTTCCATCTACACACACACAGTTGTTTTACTGTTAGGGGGGAAACATGTTGAATGACAGTAAGCCTCATGTAACTAGGTTATGTTTAATTTGGAAGTTTCCTGGTTCAGTTGTACTGTCATTCCATCTGTAAATACATTCCATGAAATGTCTTTGTGGTTGAACAAAATGATAATCATCTACAGCGGCAAAATATTGCAAATGTTTGTTTTTCTCTGTGTACTTTGGATGTCTCAGGCATATTTTAAAGAGGGGCTTAATGAAGGGGTAAGTGGGATGTTAATCACAGTCGACCATGGACATCTTCTGTCCTGATGAATGGTGTGGTGTGTAGTAAATCACCCACTGGGGAAGAGCAGTTGGATTCCTGTGCACTGTGATGTCACCGCAATCGTGTGTGAAACAGATCCAGACTTGAACAGCCCACCCTGAGCCAGATGTTGAATTTCACAGCGAACTCCTGGCTGGATGGCACAGAGTCTGGGCTGGATTTAGAAGCTTTACATTAAACTCTGGTAGCATTCGATAATCACAGGACACAGAGCTGCACGGAAACACTCTAAGCAGTATGTACTGTACGTATAATCTGCTTGTTATATCTGTGGTCTGTGGAAAATATCTACATCTCTCTGCGCTTGTCAGATGTGTTACTTGCCTTTCACATTTTTTTTCATTTCTTTTCATTCAGGTCACTTGCTGTGCGGCTTCACTAAGCATCTTGGATTTAAAACATGGCTATTCATTACATCAAGCACAAGTTCCTGTGGATTTATGTTTACAATTAGGAGAAACTGTAGAATAAAACAATAATGGAGATACAACCTATGATGAATTTGGAGGAACATCAACTTCGGGCAGTTTTAGGATCACACAAATTTACAGCACAGGATTTGTCTTCAGAAAACTCTGTGCTCTCAGCTAACAGCTCACCAGACCACAGAGGGGATGACTGCAGAGACAGAGTCCAAAGCTGCTTGCTTTTGGACCCAGATGAGGACAAAACCAAGCTGAAGAAGAGTTTTGTCTCTGTCAATCATAACAGCATTGAATTTGTGGACACTGTGGGCTTTCAGAGGTCTGAACAGGTGGCAATCATTCCTGGGGAAGCACCTCAGGACCCTAGTCCACTGGCCTTCAATCAGCTTCATGAAGCAGGTAATGTGTCCACATCACCTAGCTCAGCTGAGGACTGTTGTGGTAGCTTTCCACTTCCTGTTCCTGTAGCAGAATACCAGTCAAACCAGATAGCTCTGAAATGTCTCGGACAAACAGGGTATTTAAAATGTGAATGTGTAAAAGCTGACTTCAGGATTTCAGAGCCAGTCTCAAATGGCCATGTCATCAGAACTCCAGAAGACCCAGGTCCCATCCTCAATCTGCACTCCAATCCTCACCTCACCGTCCCTTCACCTGATGCCCAGATAGTCCTGGATGTCCCATGCATTGTGAAACTCAAACTGAGCTCCATCACCTTTTCAGACTATAGTTATACCTCTAGAGCCGACAGCCATGCATCTGACAATGTGAGCTCTGATGATGCAGAGTCTTCACCGGAGCAGGATGGTCACGATGATGATGATGATGATGGAGATGATGATGTGTTCAAAGAGCTGCCTCCAAGTCGAAATCTCATTGAAATTCACAGACATAGGATCGCTGGCAAAGACAAACAGAGGCGGAGAGGTACCATGAGTGGCCTAGAAGAAATTGATCACACAGCCAACAGCTGTTATGCAGCAGAGGGAGAAACCAGCAGTAATGAGGTATGCTGCTCTTGATTTAAATATGTTATTTGGAACAAACATAAAAGTTCTGATGTGATATAATATGAAATATCTTGCAAGCGTGTTTCCATCATGCCAGAAAACCACTGGCATATATGTGAATTTACCACATGTGAAATGGTCTTCCACATGTGCTAAATGTGTGAATTGCATTTTACATGTGCCAAACTCAGTAAAGGCAGAATAGAGAACATCAGTAAGTGAATGGCACTTAACATACGGTATGCAGTGTATATAAATACACAAAACTTTGTACATCCAAAGAAAATGAATTTGAAGCAACATTAACTTAAGTTTTCCAGCTTTTGTTGGTCTATAGAAGGAAAAGGCCAGATTGTGAAGCTCCCAGCAGCTGACATCATTACATAGTGAGTTAATGCATAGTTGGTATAAGTGTGTAGGACTATGCTCACTTCACATTTGTACTGGTGAAATGCAGATCCAGAAGGAATGCAGACAGCTCCAGCTTTCTCTCCACTCCCTCAGCAGGCAGCAGTGTTTTGACAGAGCCCATCGCAGGCTGTATCAGCACTGAACTTCACCTTTGATTACTGAATCTCTCTTCTTTAACAAGTCACAACACATTTGAGTCTCATTTTCACACAGCCTCTAACCCTGACCTTGGTTGTAACCCATCATCCCTGCTTTTATTCCCATTTTAAAGACTCATATGGGCGTTCATAAATATGTTCGAATCTGTTAGATATGTTTTTATTAGAGCTGGAGAAACATTTCCATTGGTACATACCTGACATGTTTTCTAAACTGTATGCAGATAAGAGTGCACATGTAAACAGAGCTGGTGGAGATTAGCTTCTTTGTCTGTTGGTCCAGTAGGATGTTGAGGTCACGCCAGCAATAATGTGCAGAATGACACTCTGCTCTAAAAGGGTTGTTCTGTAGAAGCGTGGGAGCTTGTTGTAAATACTATGAAAGGACAACGGGTCAGTATTTCTCATGGTGTCACAGTACAAGCTCTGTTATCATACAGTGGATTGCAACATGGGCATCACTGTATGAAAGGCTGGGAAGAACAGAGATCTGTTGATTTCGTAAGAAAATACAGTATGTGGTGTAAACAAGCTGATTTTCTCAACTAGAAATTGCTTCACTAAGCGTTAGGAATAATCAAGAGAAACTAAAAAACTATAAAATAATTATAAAATTAAATTATGACAGCAGTGTGTGCAAGTGGAAACACCTGTTCTGTTTTAAATACAGAAAAACATAGAGACTTCATGGAATAGTACATGGATGCAGTTGTTAACATTAACCATCTGAGGGCACTGCATGTTACAACTGTGTTCTCTGATGATGCCCTCCTGCTTGTATCATTTAGCTCAGCTCTGACTAAATGCCCTTAAAAATAAACATTTCTTCACCTGTCTTCTACTCTACAGAACCGGCTTGAATGTTTTGCAGCATAGGATATTAAGAGCATAATTTATTCCTACAAGTAGCCAGGTAGCCGTTGCCCTTTCGCATGACCGGCTGCTACATTGGGATACCTCCATGGTGATCTCTGGCACTCTCTGTGGGTGGCGCAGACTAGGCACCGAGCCCAGAGCTCACACACTTTATTCCTCATTTCCATCTCAAAGCCGCTGTGTTGAGGTTCACACTGTGGCCAATTTGTGCTGATAAAGTTATAGTCAGCTCACATTTTGTTGTCTCCAGAAGATAACAGTAATGCATTTATCTAAAGGATTGACTCATACCAGCTCAGTTGCTATGGTGTGAGGAGTTCACACAATTACCAGGGCCAGATTGAGAAGAGAGGCATGAAGAGATGAATCAAGGGTAGTGTCTCACTCGAGCATCAAGCCTTCATTGGAATTTATCTCATTCTAAGTAGAAGTGCCCACATTCCTAAACAGCACCGTGTGGGGATGTCACTGAAAAGAGACAGTGTTCCAGATTTGGCTTGAGCAGGTGCCAGACTGGGGCACATGTTTCTTGCGTTTGTGTTTGTCTAGCTCCTCAGGTTGATTAGAAGTCCAACTCACAAGACCTTTAGCTTATTCCACTTCCTTTTCTGCTACATTCTGCTAAAATCCTTAAAAAAAAATTTCAGGACTCAGATTGTGGAGTTTGTGATGTTTGGTTCTCCAAAGTCATAAGTAGAGTGGATGTTCATAATTTGACCTGTACAGGTCTGTGAAGGCCCTTAATGTGTGAATTCAGATGTTTAAACATGCTGATCCCACATCAAACCTGTTAGATTTCCTGGTCAGTGCCATGCTTGCAAAGCAGACATAGCAGAGAGGAGGAGCTTTATTTTTTTCCTTTTAGTGACCCTGGTTGACCCATCGGGCCTGATAGGTCACCAGAGGATTGACCAGGTTTAGGTCATTCCTCAGGGACTCAGTGAAAAAAGTTCTGGGCCAGTCAGCTGCCCCTGGGTGGTCAGCAGGGTGATTAGGCCATCTGGTGTCTGGTGTCTTAATTCCTCACAGTTTAGGAAGAATGTTTGTCAATATTTTAATGTAGATGCACTGCTGGAAGACAATTTGTGGCTTGTGGGAAGCCGTTTATAATTAAAACTGTAGGAAGGCACATTGCTAACATATGCCAAGTTATGACGTATTCACAGAGACATATACATGTATAACCAAACTCACAATACTATTTTTGATTTGTTAAACTCAATGTATTGTCAACTGTTACTGAAAGTAAAGTCTATGGACACTCAAAATAGGTCACAACAATGGCCTTTCCTCATTTGCACAGCACATTTAGTATATCAGTAAAAACAATTTTTAAAAAAGGGTCCTGTTTACTGCCAAAATTCAATCAAATCCTTCTGACAGGGATCATGTTTTGTATATGACATTGTGGGGGTTCAGATCAGAACATTTCTCATCAGTGAAGTTATTGTGCAATATAATCCTGTCAACTAAACTGCAGCAGCTAAGAGGCAATGTTTGTTTTGAATGAATGAGTTGCCAGGAGTGAGGAGGGGGTGAGAGGGGCGGATGTCACACCAGAGATCCAAATTTGCATCGAGAGCCCTGCCTGTTGTTGGGCTTAGGCATGGAAGGCACCTCGGTCAAGGTTAGGATAGATGTTCTATGTTAAATGCAGATGAACACATCGTGTATGAAGTCACTGTGCTGTGAGTGCCTTAAGTCCAATTGCTTTTTTTCTAAGGTTTTTCAGCTTACTATGACCTGGATGACTGAGAATCTGCACGGACATATCAGTATCACAGTGTAAAATACTTTGTTACAAGTAAAAGTCCTGCATTCAAAATTACAGAAGTATTAACATCAAAATATTCTTAAAGTACTAAAAGTAAAAGTACACATTATGCACTTTTTAGATTACCCAGCACTGGATTATATGCACTATTGTGTGCATCCCATTTATTGTTATGTACTTTGAATTTGATTTACTGCTGAGTAGTTTGTGAATGAAATATTATGATTTATCAGTATTAGTGTTATGATTAAACTATCTTTTATATAGTTGGTCCGGGTCTAAAGTAAAACTAAAGTTCATTCTGACCATTTATTTTGACGGTGACCTTTGTGATTGTAACTGTCCTCAGTGGTTCTGGGATTTTGTGCTGGAACCCACAGTGATACTTTTCAAGAGTAAGTAGCATATGAGACTCTGCAGGACTAAGCAAGAAACACACAGGCTGATATCTCTCCTCTGCTCAGATTTCAGAACAACAATATTAATTTATGTTTTGGTGGTGTATTCTGCTGTTTTATGAGGCTGGACCTCCAGATTGCCAGACACAGCGCCTGTCTGTGTAAAGAAGGTCTATTTATATACACTGTGTCTGGAGAGTAGTGAAAGCCAGCACAGGGAATTCCATCATGCTCTGTGTGGCGCACATGTCTGGATCCCTCCTCCTTTGCTCTTTAGCCCTGAAGTGGCTGAGATCACATTTCCATCTGTAGCAGCACTGTAGTCCAAAGTAGTGCATGCAATTTGCAGGATATGTTTTTGTTTTGAGTGTAACGCTTTCTGACTTTAGGGCAGTGTGGTAAATTGACAGACGCTCTCACCTTACCCAAAGTTCTCGTGGTATTTATTTTAAATCACTACTGAAAGTAAACAATCTCTGGGTTGCAAAATGATTGCATTCTCAGAATAGGTTACAAGGATGGCCTGTTTTCAGTGAGACCACAAATTCTCTTATATTTCTTGGAATATTTTAGTCAAACCACAGTGAATCAGCGAAAATGCTAAAAAAAGAAAGTATATTTGTTTCTAAAATAGAATCAAAGCCACGTCCTGTCCAAGACATTGTGAGAGTTTCCCATAAGAACATTTCTCTTCAATGAAATTACTGTGCAACATCAAGATCAATGATTTTTTATTGTCAATTCACTATATGTACAGGACATCCAGAAAATTTAAATACTGTTTCTCTAACCTAGTATTGAATGCCATACCATTTAGGAAACTAAAATAGAATAAAAGTATAGTAAAAATAGAATAAAAACAATAATAAAACTAAATCAAAGTGATGAAAAAATCTGTACTAACAAGACTGAATAACGGTGCTCAAAAGCACAAAATTAGCTAACAAACTGGAATAAATCAAAACCCAAAAGGTATATCAACATGCTGATAACTGCTCAGTGTCTGACTCGGTACTCTGATAATAGGGGTGCTAGTCTTTTCTTATGTCGGTCCCTCCATGATTACCCACAGGAATCCCCACAGGTCACGTTTCCCTGGTCTGAGCCAGTGAGCCAGCTGATGAAGAAACTGGACCAGCTTAATCTGGACATTAAGGAGGTTCTAAGTGCAAGCTCATCCCGCTCTGACACACCCTGCACCACCCCCAAGAAACAGGTGAGAATTAGAGATGGTGTCAGTCAGCTTTTCATAATGCCTTTTGAGAGTTTGGTCCTTTATATTGTTTAAACACAGACTTAACTGTGCTGTACAGTATGTACTCTGTGGTATAAAGCCGCATGCGGATTGTAGCACATCAGTCATCACGACTAATATTGTACACATTCCTCTGAAGCACATGCTGCACAGTTGGTCATGCTTTTTAAACTTCCCTAAATCAATTCAGTTTGGTCTGTGGAGAGAAAATCCCAGTGGATTATTCAGACCTGTAAGCAACAGGTGTGAGTGTTAAAAAGTGATTCAAACAAGCTCTCTCAGAGCCAGCAGTGGTAACGACTAAACCCAGCCTGTCTGTGACACTCTCGGCTTGGACTGTCTTAAAGTATCTCTGTGACTCTGAGTCCATTTGATAATGTAGGTCTGTAGCTCTTAGATGTGATACTGGAGTCTAGAGTGCTTCAGCCCTGTCAGAATGGTGCGGCAGGAACAGACAGCTATTGTGCTTTTGAGGTTGTGACCGCTCTGTTCCTTAAAAGGGCTCTTCTCATGGTGGCATGTTGCATGAAGTATCTCACCAGAGTTAGCATTTGGGAACAACAGTGCTCTGTCGGGTTCCATATGTATGTTCAGCACAGAAGGGCTGTTGTATTGGATGGGAGTTTGCATGATCTGGACCATTAGGAATGAGATGAGAGAGACTTACATGCCTCTAGGCATCTGCATAACCATCCCAGTCATTCACTATTACGTGCTTTAACTAATGACAGGAGACTGGGCAAGACACGACATCTTTACAGGGATATTTGACAAGGTCATAATCTCTGTCCTTTCAAAAGAAGATCCACACATACAGGCTTCTCTGTGTGCCTCTGTAAAGCTGAACTGAAGTGAAGATTTCGCTTCCAAGACGTTGACCTCAGCCTCTTGTTTTCTTTTCCTCCGGTCACTGTTGAAAACATTCGGTTCCTGTGTGTTCAGCCAGACAGAGACAGACCCAACCTTGATTGTATTTGTGATGTTGCAGTGGGGTGCTGTTGCTACATCCGCATCAAATCAAACCCCGAAGAGCCAGCTTCTTCAAAGAAAAGCCAGAGTGGACTGTGCAGACCAAGTTGGGTGTTCTTCTCCTCACAGCACCTCTCAGGGAACAGAAGGAACAAGAGCAGGAACCAAGAAGACGGTAAGTTTCTTTAAGAATCACAACCTCTTACAGGTGTTGAACAGTTTCACTGAGTCAGTGAGAAGTTATACAGGTAGTGTGTACAGTACATCAGACTTACTTCCTACAGTACTGTCGTCCAGTTCTCATTGTAAAGCCTGAGAGCTGCTAAATTCCTTCGAGCCTAACTTTACAAGTGGTTGCATATGTTTTTGTTTTTTCAGCTCAGGTTCTATTATTTTTGGGTGACTACCATAATCTGTTTACCTCCTGCACTGCACAAAGTATCTGTCCTCGGCAGGTTCTTGTCTCTATCTGGGAAATTTTTCATTTTCAGTTTTTCTGTAATAAATAGAGTAAAAAGCAGACTGTCTTCAGCTGTAAAGAGGAATAATTTATCCTCTTACAAAATGTTTTTAAGCTTTCCTATCAGGTCCCTAAATAATAAAATAAAATCCAACCTTCATTTCACAATCACATATTTGCCCCTGGGTCATGGTGTGTTGACAGAAGAAAAAAAATCACAAATAATATTTCATAATCGGATAGTTTTTTTTTTTTTAAGATAAATCTATCACCAGTGAGCTGAAATTCTGACATTCTCTGCCATCAAGCTGCTCTTCCTCCTACATCTGTAAATATTTGAGGTTTGCATTGGGAATAAGGTCAGCTTAGGCATTCACTTCTGCTGGACAAAGTATATAAATGCCACTATTCAACAGCACTAAAAGAAACAGGCAACTGAGAAATTTGTAGAATGCAGAGTTAACTTAAAACCAAAGGCTTTCAGTTTGTGTTTTGTGCTCTCTTGATGGCTCTGTAGCAACATGATGGCAAACAACCTGCTTGTTAGAGAAAACTGTAAGGGCCCAATTTAATACATATAGTTTTATACTCTCCCACACTAGTGATACCTTTTGGCATCTTCTTATTTTGTGACATTAGATTTATGATATAATGTATAAAAGTTTTGTTTTATGTACTGTAGTTCCAACAAGAAACCACAGTATGGAGCATATGTTGTAGGCTGAAGGATATTGGACAGACTGGGGTGTGTAATTAGATTGGCAGTTCAAAGAAAGATTAGTTTGTCTGTGGACACTGGTTACTGAGATAAAATTTGGTTCTCAGAGTAGATGCCGCCTGTCTTTTATGTGGAACCTGTAACAGCCTCTTGTAAATGCCAAGTTAAAACTTGGCCTGAGGACAGCTGCAAATGTTCACTAATGCTACAGACAAGAGTGTTTTGGCTGCAGTGTAACACTGAGTGTAATGAGATTGCATGTTATTCAGTAGTGACATGTTTGATGATTATATGAAAAATAAATATTTTCCAATTTTTTCCAAATATAGAATGAATTTCACACAAAGTGCACTGCTGATCATCATATTCTTAAAAAAGATCTTAAAAAATAAAGGTTAAAGGAGTAGTTTAGCATTTTGATTTGATTTCTTGCTGACTGATAAAAAATTTCATATCAGTAAACATGACGCTACCACCAGAAGCTGGTTAGCTGGTCTTAATATAATGACTGGACACATGGTAAACTAGCCTGGTTCTGTCTAAAGTCCCCAACACCAGCAAGTCTGTCTCTCCAACAGAAAGCAATAAGCACATTTCCTAAAATGTCAAACAATTCATTCAAGTTTGTTCACCGGTTTAAGTGTGATCCTGCGAGGTTTCCAAAAACAGATGAGAGGACATGCTAGCAGCACTGCACATGCAGAGGGATTTTCCTCCTCTGTGCCCTCTGAGTCTTACATAAGAGCTCTGGAGTCCAAATAAAACTTCTGACAACAGGGAGCGAGAATGTGATGCAGACTGAATCACAGTCTCGGAGTCTAAGAGTAAACTGGCTGAATGTGTGAGCCAGTGCACACTGCTTGAATACACAGTTACAGCTTGACTGACAGATGTTTTATGGAAGCGTCTGGTCGAAGTTTCTGGCACCTGCCTGACACCGTCTGACTCCCTCCTGCCTCTGTAAGATCTGTAAAACCTGGAATGCACCTCATATCTCCCTCAGTCTGCTGCGTGTCATACAGACTGAGCTAATCTGAGCTGGAATGTTATTTTGTTTGGTTGGAGTTTTTTTTTCTTTTCATTTTTGTTTATTCTATTTACTGTATCATTACTTGCAGTGATATAAAGAAGATGGCATGCACCTATCATGCATAGCAGGATTTATTCTAAAATGCAAGCAGCATATACAGTAAAAGCTATTTTCTATATCTTCTGAGCCTGATATCACTCTCAAATTGATTGATATTCTTTTAATACATCAAATTTCCAATTTATAGAAGCACGGGGAAGTGGTCCATCTGACACCAGTCCTGAGAGAGACTCAGTGCTGCTCCTGTGCAGAGTGTCACTTTTTCCGACCTGTAACTTTTGAGATGTCCACCATTTGACTGTGATTGGACTAAGCTAGGCCAATGTGTGATCAATGTGGGTCAGGCGTCGTGATATACCAGGTGAAATACTTTGTCTTGACTGCTGACAAAGAAAGAGCGAGAGTGATGTGTTCAAGTCTTTGAAGCTTTGTCAAATCGGCATTTCTCCACTGAGACCTAAGGTTTTGTCCCTTGAAATAAACACATGGTTGAAACACATGGATACTCTTGGTTGTTCATGGCTGAAACCTGAACGAAATCTCTTGGTTGTTACCCACTCTCTTCTTCATTGTCTGAATAAATAAAAAATGGATGCCAGTTGCTTGTTCTCCTCTAGCCTCATTTGTCATGTGGCCAAAAAGTGTCCAAGAGCATGTAACAAAGAGAGATTGCATTCAAACAAACACTTGCCCTGTTTAATCCAGTCAATCGGATCTTTTTTGTTGTCACAGTGAAGCGTCGGCCATAGAGGTCGCTCATCTTGCCAAGTGCTTCTTTACACTGCAAGCGTTTCTACTGCCATGACAACAGTGTGAGGCTGCAGCCCTCATGAAAGATGCAGTACATGACTAACTTCCAACTTGACAAAGAAGCTTTTGCACATGTTGAAGTTTCAATCAGCACCAGGTGGGCTGCTTGCCAATGGAACTGATGGAAGGTCAACAGCATCAAAAACCAGTAGGCTTGGAGATGGATAGAGAAACATGGCAACAGGACAAGCAAACAAGAATAGAAATCAGTGGGCACACAGTGGAAGAGGAGACGAATGAGCGGTGTAAGGGAGGGAATCCTGAATGCTCCAGATCAGGAAATGACTTTTAGTTCTTTGACCTCTGCCACCATTGTATTGTGTACAAAATCAAGGGTTAATATCAAGGCCCTGTGTTTCCTCCTTTGTATCGGTTTTATTTTGCAGTGACAAGTAATATCAGAGTCAGCTTTATTGATGAGGTGTGTTGAACACACGAGGAATTTGACTTTGGTACCGAGGCTCTCAATGTGTATGTACAGTGCTCTTGTAATGCAATGAGTAAACAAGTAAACAAGATAGGACTGAGAGAATGGGCAAACAAGAAAGGAATGTGCATCAGTGTCCTGAGATGACTTTTGTTGTGATTTGGTGCTATACAAATAAAAATTGATTTGATTTGATTTTAGATGGTTTAGTTTAGTTTTCAGATGGATTTATACAAACATATATTTGCAAGGTATTACACTGACAGTTGTTGTGTTATACAGTCATGGGCCAAGTGTTCATCAGAGTGACAGCCTGGGGGGAAAAAACTGTCCTTGTGTCTGGTTGTCTTGGTGTACAGTGATCTGTAGCGCCATCCAGAGGGGAGGAGTTCAACCAGTATATCCAAGGTGTGACAGGTCTGCAGAGATCTTCGCTGCCCTCCTTTTGACCCGTGAGGTGTACAGGTCTTCCATGGAGTGCAGGCTGGCACTGATGATCTTTTCTGCAGTCCTGACTGTTCGCTGGAGTCTGATCCTATCTTGTTTGGTTACCGAAACACACTAGTATCAGCAGCTCATGGGGCAAGTTGAGCTTCCTGTGCTGATGCAGGAAGTACATCCTCTGCTGTGCCTTCTTGGTGATTGTGCTTACGTCGGACATCCATCTCAGGTCCTGGGAGACAGTCGAGCCCAGGAACTTGAAGGACTCTACCGCTGATACAGTGCTGCTGAGTATGTTAGGATGGGAAGTGTGGGTGGGGGGCTCTTCCTAAAATCCACTGTCAATCTCTGTCGTTTTGAGCGTGTTCAGCTCCAGGTTGTTGCGACTGCAGCACAAGGCCAGCAGTTCAATTTCCTGTCACCGTCTCAGATGTTGAACCATTGAACGCTGAGCTGAAGTCCACAAAGAGGACCCATGCATAGGTCCCTGGGGAGTCAAGGTGTTGCAGGATGTAGTGCAGTGCCGTGCTGACTGCATCATCCACTGAGTGATGAGTAGCCTCCTCTCAAAATGAAATCAAAGTATGTAGCAGCTCACTGTACTACGGTTACTGATATTTTGTTTTGTTTTTTCTTTTATTTTGTAGATATTCCATAAGATGAACAATGCAGGAAGTACAGGTAAGAAAAGATATATGCTTGTGTGTGGGGTTTCTTTCCTTAAAGTTTTGATGTAGCAGTGCTTACTTTGCTCTCAGAAACTATATCTTGAATGAGCCAGTTTTGGTCCCTTGCGCTTTATCTTCATGTAGATTTTACTTTCCCAAAGCATGTGATTCAGGTAGAATGGAGAGCCTAAAATGCAAGTGTCTCTGTCTGTCTTGACCCTGTGATGAACTGGCAACCTGTCCTGTGTTTCTTTTCATCTCTGCTCAGTGCATGCTGGGATAGCACCCAGTGAAACTTAAGGCAGGTTTTAAATAGGAAGAGCAAATGGATGAGTAAATGTGATAGCATTAGTAGCTAAATGGGTTTCATCTGTTTGGCTGGAACTTCTAAGCATCAGCACACTTTGCCTGTATATTTATACTGTATTGCACTGATTGTAAAGGTAATTACATTCACTGGAATTAAAACAGGAACATCCAATCAATGCAGACATTAAGACATTAAACAAGGATTTTGCTGGAAGAGCACCAGCTCTCCTTGTATGTTACACAATTTCTGTTCACTGGGCAATGACAAGAGAATAAGCTATAAGAAAAGGAACCTTGATGCTAAAATGTAGAATTTAGACACTGCTGCCCTGTTCTCATGCCCACTGAGGCTAATAATTCTGTGTCTTGACAGAACCTCATGTCTGTTGTGAAGCTTGATCTTTTATGAAGACTCAGTCTTGGTTTACAGTCGGTACTGTGCTGTAATTGAAGGAGTGCTGCTCCGCTGTTTTACAAATTATGAAATCTCCCTGCCAGTTGATCCTTTCCTTCATGGGGGCATTGCTTGGGCCTCAGGCAATGCTAATAAGACTGACAGCCACAGGTGTGTGCAAGTGCCCTTCCAGCTAGTGTTTTGAGAATGTCCACTTGTACCGTGTCTTATTTGAAATGCCTTCAGTATATTGGTCACTTGCTGGGGTGCAGTTAAAATAAGGCAGCATGCCAGATCATTGTGTCTGTTGTGCTGAGGGGAAATATGTGGCCTGGTGTGTTGTGGCCCTTGAGGGGCAGCTGGGGGATTTGGGTAGATGCCATTTTAAGCTCAGGTTGCATTCTCACATGACCTCTGTTGTACATGATGGTCCTGCACAAGTGCATGTTATGGCCTGGAAAAAATCCATGTCACTTCTATGCAGCAGTCAACTGATGTGTGGCCTGCTGGTGTGTGTGAGTGTGTGAGGTATGCAATGTGACTGGTCATTCCTAATTGTAATTCTTGGAAGTCTGAGTGTGAGGCCACTGTGAATATCATCAACAAGTTTGTCAACACAGCCATGAGGTTCTCTTCAAATACATTAATCATTATGTTTCGCCACCAGATGATTTTCATAGAAAGCTGCTTTTTCTTTTAGGTGTCGTCTTAACTGAATTAAGCTAGGCCACTGTCAACTTTATTTAGTCATTATGTAAACGGTTTCAATTAAAATCTTGGACAGTGAAAATCTTAAGGACCTAGCTGGGCTGAGTCAGACAGGTGCAATATGCCCTGTTTGTATTTTATAGCTGGGCTGAGGAGATTTGTTTTATGACATGGATACAAGACAGCCAGATAGTTCTCAGTATAGACTGTAACAACACTGTCCAGCTCATTAAAATGACATTGCCCAGGAGAGCACAGCACATTATTTGGGACCAGATCCAAAATAATAAAGCAGCAGCTGAAAAATTGTTGGTATTCTGTGCAAGAGCTGTGCAGTGCATTTTTATTGCTCTTTTGTGCACATGGTTTGTTTGCATGTACACACACAATTTTCATCCCTAGCTGCCTGTAAATAAAACATTCTGGTTAATAATAGCAGAGCTTGTGTTGGGGGTATGACCACATACACTTTATTTATTCAAAAAACACCAATGTGTATTTTACAGCTTTCCAGTTTACTTCACAGGGCAGTGACATTTTTACAGTTTAGCTTCTGAAAACATGTTGATGATGTGCAGTGTCATCTATTGCAAACATATTATTTTGCATGGTGGTTAATGTGTAATTGGCTTGTTTAGTTCATGTTGTGTTTTTATCAAATAGTTGTAGTTGTTACTTTTATAAAAACAATTGCCACATTATATAACTCTTGAATCCTATTAGCTAGAGCTGGTGGTCAGTCTATTGTTTCACAGGAGCACAGACAGTAGGAGCCGTTATTGAGGTTTGTTTTAAAACTCCCATACATTTACATTTACACTCATCTCTGCAGTGCTTTTAACAGCATGTTCCGTTGAACAATAGCCTGCTTGTTGGTCTTATAGTCAACAATGGAAATAAACTCTGTACCATTTAGAAATAGTGAGCAGAGATTTCAAAAAGTAGTTAATGGGATTTCAAAACTTTTTGTACTTTGTTTTATTTATTTAAGTTCATCTAAGGGATTTATGGGGAAAGCCCCTAGACCTTTTAGCCCTTGTGGCTTGTTGTTTTTGTGTTTCCTCAGGCAGAAAACAAAGCCCAGAGCTCCATCCTAAACCCGCATATGGATATACTCAGAGCAGATTTGGTCTGTGGAGGGGAATAAAGCTTAATCCTCCCTCTCAAATGTTTATTTTCTGAAGGACGTACTCAACATTTATGAGGCATGTTTCAAGTCCTGAGTAGATGATGGACCCTATTACCTCTGATGGGCCCTATTACCTCTCCTGCTGCATCATTTGTATGGAACTATATTCCCTGCAGTCTCTTTAATTGCAGTGTAGAAATTAATGGCTTCCTCTGGTGAGAGGAGGCAGCTATATTCATCCTAAAACCCCTGTTGCCTTAACTGACATTAATCATAGAATTAATGAATCCACATTGACACTGTAAGGCTGAAGGCTGCCAGGTTTCTGTCAGAGACACGATGGAGATAAGGAGGATGAAGCTGCATTTATCTGTGTGGTCTAAAACATGTATTTAGTGGTAAACAGAATATCAGTTTTGTAATGGGTGTGTTTATGAATTTGTGCACAGGTAACATATAGTTTCACCTCTTTTATTTGTTTTATATGCTAATGGAGTGTCAGTGCCGTTATAAGGGTAGACATAAAATTTGCAGATGAAGTTTGCAGATGATTCTGATTGTTTTACTCAGCAAAGATGATCTTGACCATGGCCCAGTAGTGGAGCATTTTAATGTTTAGTGG